AGCCAGGGCAAACACCCTCTCCCTTCTTCACAGTTCCCTGGGTAAAAGAATCATACCTACTTTAGCAACCTCAGCACAACGTTGTCTTTCTGCCTCGAGAATTTTCACCCTCTCAGCTTAGAGGAAGCAGTTTAAGGCTTCTCCTGGGCGTACACAAATTCCATCATTACTCTTAGCTTTTCAGAGCTAGTAGTATTAAGTAAAATGAGCACCACCGCTGTGATACCCAACAGCCCCTCTATAACCAAAGTGCTACAGCCAGAGCCACACAGGTTATACCAAACAAAACCAGGCCAGCCTCACACTCAAGAGATCCGCCTGCCTCTGCCTCCCGAGTACTGTAATTAAGAGCAGGCACCATCCCCTTTTTGTTGTTTGGTTTCTAATTTGTTGCATTTATCGACCTTTTATATGATATATAATTGTTTTGAGTCCAGTTTCCCTTCCAGATGCCAAAGGGAGAGACCAGGCGAGGTTCAGCTTTGCCACCTGGCGGTTGGAAGAGGGGAGGCTCAGGGTCCCTCGGGTTTGAGGGTCTCTGGGGAGGTAATTCTCTCGCCCTCGGTTTTGTCAGTTCCTTTTCCCACTGTATTAGGCAGGGTCCTCTATGGAGCGAGTATTTGTTGTGGGGGATTTATTGTAGTAGCTCACACACTGTGGTCTGGGTGGTCCTACGGTGGCTGCGTCACACGGGCGAGGTTGAGAACGGCTGCCTCCACATCTCCGTCTGGCACGGAAGGCCCAGAGGGTTCACTCTGGAAGCTGGGTTCTACCACCAGTGAAGGAAAGCAGCAAAGGGAGAGCGGCAAAGCAGAACTCTCCTTCAGAGTGAAGGTGAGCAGGCAAAACATTTCTTTCCTTCCCTTTGTGTGGGCTGCCACCGGGAAAAGCGGCCCCTCGCTAGGTGATCTTCGAACACCAACCTGGTCAAGAAAATTCTTCGCAGGAGTGCCCAGTCCTGTGCCTTTTAACTAATTCCAGATCCGGGCAAGCAGACAACCGTGATTAACCATCATACCCACAAAAGTGGGGCTCATAGGGTCCCCTGAAGGAGTTGGTGTCGGAACTAAATGAGGTAGTAACCCTACCACTAACACGTACTCTAACACGCCACAGGTCACATGTGTAACAGAATACAAGGCCCCCATACAAAACTCCTCCAGCCTCATTTGTGTACAGGTGTGTGTGTGTGTGTGTAAAACAGGTGTAAATGAGTGTGTGTTTGTGAGTAGGAGGAGGCAGGACCAGGCTGTGGGAGACAGGGCACAGTTGGCTCAATTACTCATGGCCTCAAAATAAAAAAAGCCGCTTGAAGTATTTACAGGCCCCAGGATGATTGTAAATCCCACAGCCCTGGCTCCCGGCCAGATACTCCTTGCTCGCCCTCCCCCATCTCCATTGGTGGCCACAGCCTGGCTGCCTCCCTCTCTCCTCCGGATAGTCTGGAGCACGAATGTCCGGAGGAACAGACACCGGGGTGGTGCAAAGGGCTTTCAGGAGACCCCCGTCTGGACTGCTTGCCTGCTCTAGGGTCCTCTTAGGTAAAAAAGACTGACACCGAACCAATGGACCTGTTGGCTTAGCCCGGGGGGGGGGGCGTTCCCAAGCCCCCAGCACACGAGCTTACAGAGCAAGTGAAGCCTCACGGTTCTGAAAAAGGAACGGGAGTCTTCCTGTATGCCATTCCTATCACTGGTCTCCAACAGCAGAGGATGTAAGGGTCTCTTGCTGTGGATTTGTTTCTAAGTAGATAACCACGCACCAAACGAGTTTCATGGAGCTGCTTTTCTGTAACCTTGCTAAAGAGCAAAAGGTCAGGAACGTCTCTCTCAGTAATCCCAGTGTTTCCCTTGGCATACCTCCAGGGACGTCTCTCTCAGTACCCCGAGTTGCCTAGAAGCGTATCTCCCATCCCAGGGAGCCAGTGTCGGGAACAGGCTCATGGGCAGCAAGTCCAACCTTGGTTTTTTTGTTTGTTTTTTGGCATTAAGAAGGGATATGATGTGCCCAAGGTCACCACAGTAAGAACAGGTACAGGGTGATGTCTGAGACACAGAACTAAGGAATTTTTTTTTGTCTCCCTTTGTGTTCCCAGCATAGCTAACAGAAATCCTTGCTCAAAGTGATGGTCGGCTGTAGTGGAACTCGGGCTTCCTGATGGCCAGTCTAGGACTCTTTGTCCTCCCCCAAGATGCCACCAGGAAGGTCGTAAAAGGGGAAATACCTAGCAAGATCTGTTTGGAAGCCAGACATGGCGCACAGCTGTAATACAGCAAGCACTCTGGGACCAAGGAAGAGGGACTCAAATTTAAGGCCAGCCTAGGTTACATCACAAGATCCTGTCTCCCAAAGACAAATAGCAAAATGATTCTTTCTTGGGGTAACTATTCTGGGTTAAAGATGACTGCAAAATGTGTCTGCTACTCCTCCATGGAGCTCTGGCTCCAGCGCCGCATCCAGGAGCTAGGCTGAGCATTGCAGCTTGCTAGACAAATTGGATGAGGTGGCAGTGAGAATCTGGGACTTCCCATGCGAGGCCATTAAAAGCCTAGCCCGTAGCGCTTGTTAGCACTCACATCTCTGCGCTTCTCTGGAAAGCCAGCTCATTGCCAGAGAAATCTCTTGGTCTCTCTGGCTGCCTGGGCCGCCCGCCTGGCCAGGCTTCGGAGTCAACCGGCAAACCCACCAGAAGGAAGTTACTTTGGACATCTGACAACTCAGTCACACTCAAGTGACCACTACTGATGCCACATGCTGAGAAGAGCCACTTAGCCGAGCCCTGCCCAGATCCAGACGCACAGAGTCACAGACATGATAAGATGGCGGTACTCTGATCTGAGTTTGGGTGCCATTTGTCACACAAAAATAGACACCGTGTGATAATTATCTTGAAAAGCTGCCTGCTGGGCTCTTTCTAGAGTGAGCTCACAAACTCCCGGATTTTATGTGTGTTCTAAGCATGAATTATTTACTTAGGTTTATTTATTATGTAGAAGACAGGGTTTCCCAGTGTTTTCTAGGCTGTTCTTAAACTCCTGGAACCTAATTCAAACTGGATTTGTAAAATAACAAAACAAAAAAAAACTTTTGTTAGAATTGCCCCCACTGCTGCCTCCCCAAAATAGCACCTGGCTTTAATCACAGTCAAGAGGCGGAAACAAATCTGTGTGAGCGCTAGGCCAGCCAGGGCCAAAGAGACCCTGCCTAAAAAACTAAAATCCAAAACAACTCTTCCTAGACTCCAAATATGATAACATGATAAACCTAAGTTGGAAGGACACGCGCGCATACACACACACACACACACACACACACACACACACACACACACACACACGGAGAATACAGCTCCATCCTTATGGAACAACTTGTATTCTAGCATTTGTTCTCATTGGATTATGGATTCTTGACCCGTCTTTGAAGACAGACTCATGTCTGAGGTTCAAAACCAATCATCATGCCTGGTGTTGGTGGCACATGCCTTTAATCCCAGCACTCGGGATCTCTGTGAGTTTGAGGCCAGCCTGGTCTACAGAGTCGGTGCTGGGATAGGCTCCAAAGCAGAGAAACCCAGTCTCGAAAAAACAAAACAAAACAAAACAAACAACAACAAACAAACAACAATCGTCACTGCGCAGGCAGGCTGTGCTGGCAACAGTAGGACCTACAGTGTGGACATAGTGTAGATGCGGCATGAGCAGAGGTCCCAGAGCCCCACTAACGCTGCTTGCCCCCAGGAAATAAATGACTAAGCCAGCCACTGTTCACCAGCGCAAGCCCCCAACTCAGAACCTGTCACAGCTGTCACCATCACAGCCTCTGACATAATTACAGACCCAGGGCCCCCATGGCCTCCTCCCCTTCTAGTCCGCAGGAGGGCAGGGACCCATCTTCTCTGGGAACGTGGAAGCCAGAGCTCAACTCTGTCAAAGCCCTGCCAGCTGCTGACATGGTGCCCGCCCCATTCTGAGCTCGCTCCCTGGTGTCTGAGGCGGCTGGCGCTCGAGGGTCCTGCCATGGGGATGCGTGGAATCCTGCAGTTGGCTTTCTTTGGATGTGGACCAGGCCTGGCCCTGCACCTGCTGCTGAGGAAGTCACCTCCTACTTCCTATCCAGTCCCCCTCTTCCTCCCATCTAGAACATGCACACATGCACAGTCACCCCCTCCTCACCCAGTGAGGGCTCTCACACACACACACACACACACACACACACACACACACACACACACACACGCACACGCACACACACGCACGCACACGCATGCACACACGTACTTGCTCACGGTCACACACACGCACGCACGCACGCAGGCACACACGCACGCACACACACGCACGCACACGCATGCACGCACGTACATGCTCATGGTCACACATACACACACGCATGCACATGCTTATGCTCACACATGCACACAGTTTCACCTCCCACTCAGGCACCCGGGGAGTTATATGTAGGGTGAAGAGACAGAGCTGGACTAACCATGCACTTCTTCACTTAGTTTGGTGACTTTGGGTCTTTTCTTAATCAAAATTTAGGATTCTCTACCTGAAAAATTAGCTGTGGAGCCTGACTCCTAGGTTTTCTAGTCCTGATCCTTGACACATGATATAAAACCAAACCCATCTCCCGATCAATCCTGCTCTAGCATTCCTGTGGCACAAATGATGGCCATCGACCTCCCTTCCCCCACCCCCATCTGCCCCGCTACATTTGACCTAAAGAACCCTTGGCCTGCTTACCTGCCAGCCCTGTGAGCCCAGCGGCCACTTCCGTGTTGGACTTCGGAGAGCCCTCATGTGTTTAGACCGTGTAGACAGGGTATCCGCCCCCTGAAACAAGGCACACGTGACTACAAACTCTGGTAGCCATGTGCTGGGAATTCCGCCCCCTCCCTGGCCCCCTTCCCCCCCGTCACCTGACCTCCTAAAAGAGGAAGGTAGCTGTTTGACCCACTTTTTCCTGATTCATCTGGGCTCTGTAGAAGAAGCTGTTGACTGACGGCAGCACACACAGCTGCTAAACTGGAGAGGCGTAGATGTAGAACTTCGGTCAGCCCTCTGTTGGCCCGCGTGAGGACGTAAATCACTGACGAATTCCCTGCAGTTGGGACCATTCTTTCAAACGTGCACATCAACAAAGATCTCACATCTCGGGAGGAGGGCAGAGCGGAGACGGAGGAGTCTTGAGGGTGAGAGCTGGGAAGGAGGTTGAGGCTACCTCGGATGACACAGACTACGCTTGAGGGAAGGGTGTGCACCTAAGTCCTTCGTAAGTAACGCTGTGCGAGGTGTTGTGGCCAATGGGGAGGTGTATGAGTGCAGAGGGGTGTGTATGTATGTGTGGGGGGGGGACAACAAAGTGTCATTGCTGGCAAGTGTAAGGCCAAGTGTCAGCCACCCTACTTTGCTGGACCTTCTTCTAAACCTGAGAGGCGGACAAGAAGGCCTGGTCTCAGGGCTGACAGATGGCTCAGCCTTTAAGAGCATTTGCTCGATAATCATGAGGACCCAGCTCTACAATCAGAGCATCTCCACAAGCACCTGCAGCCCTAGCTCAGAGGTGGGTGGAGACAGGGGAATTGCTGGCTTTCAGTCTAGCAGAGAAACCATGAGCCCCAGATTCAGGGAGAGACCTGCCTCAAAAGGATAGGCAGGGAGTGCACCATCCTCACAGGCACCTACACCCAAAAAAGTAATATATAAAAGGGAAAAGTGGGCCTCCATCAAGGTTTGCCAGAGAGACCCAAGTCCTCAGGAGGTGAGAGGAAGGTCTAATGGGGTGGAGGCCAGGTTCTCAAAGGCGGCCTTACTCTAAGGGCTTGAGGAAGAGCACCCACAAACATGGAAGGCAGTGGACAACACAGAGACGTCTGGTCCAGGAATGAAGTCACTCCTGAGGTAGTCTGGATTCTAAGAAAGGCTACTGTGGCTTTCCCTGGCAAGGATCACACTGCCTAGAGACAAGTGCAGCTGGGGTAATGTTAGCTTTAGCAAACAAAAGTGCTCTAGAAACCACTGGAGAGATCTCTTCCACTTTGCAGATCAGAGTTTGCTCTAACAGTCAAAGATTTTAGTAGGCCTGAGCGTGCTCTGAGACCAACAGATCCCCTGGCTAGCCAGGCTTGGCTGCAAATCCCTAGGCCTTGGGGAGGGGGGGCAGATCACATTCACCAACCACTTTGTGCTAGTTTTTTTTTGTTTGTTTAAATAAGATTTTAATTTATGGCATGTGTGCATGTCTGTGGGTATGTTCTTGCAAATGTGGGTGCCAGGTTCCTGGAGCTGGAGTTACAGTGGCCATGAGCTGCCGTATGCGGGAGCCGGGAACAGAACTGGGTATCTCGGCAGGAAGTAGCCAGTGTTAACAGAACAGCCATCTCTCCAGGCCCTATAATGGTTACCTTTTCATCACTGTGACTGAAGTACTTGAAAGGGGCGAACTCAGGGAGGAAATGTTTATTTTGTCTGTTTCAGAGGGATTTCAGTCAACCACAGGGGCAGCCAGGCTAAAATGGCTGTCATGGCAGGAGCACGGTGCAGGACAGCTGTTCACATTCTAACAGACCAGGAAGAAGAATAGTGTCATCTTCAAAGGCTTGCACGGGCGACATCACCCTACTGGAGGACCCACCCCTTCAGGGCACAACTGGAGATCTGGGAGCTCAACCAGACTTAAGCCCGTGGGGCCATCGCAGATCCAAAGCCTGGAGTGAACACAAAAGGAGGCAGAGGCCAGCGCAGAGCAAAGGCTGAGATGAAAACCTTTCTGGTTTGCTAATGAGACGGGACATGCTGATGGGGGATGTCCTACATGCTGTGAACATGGGTTTCTCTGATTGGTTGATGAATAAGTGCTCGTTGGCCAGTAGCCAGGTTGGAAGGATAGGCAGGGCTACAACTCTAGAAGAATTCTGGGAATAGGAAGGCAGAGATGTCATGTAGCTATTGGGAAGATGGGACACCGGGCATTCTCCAGTAAAATAAGGCCATGCCAAAATATATAGGTTAATAGTTATGGATTAATAATTAAAGACAGAGCTAGCCAATAAGAAGCCGGAGCCATTGGCCAAACAGTTTATAATTGATACAAGTCTCAGTGTGCTTATTTGGGACTGAAGGGTGGCAGGACCAGGCAGAACAGACATTTCTGTCCACAGTGTGTCCTGTCCATCTACACGTCTAAACCAGGTTCTGCAGCCCTACTCAGTCACCGGCTGTCCGCCCTCCACGGGCCAGAGTACACCTTCCCTCTAGCACCCGCTCACCACGCTCTGTGCTGAAGTGTGGGAGAAGGCTCAGGGCGGTGGGGGGGGGAGCACAAGCTGACCCATCCACACTGACATCGAGGTTGCATCATGTGGGACTTGGAAGTGACACAGCCTTTTAGGATGGCTTTTGTATGGCTTGGGAGGTAATGATAAGTTCCTCTCTTTAGAAAATGAAAACAACGGGTCTTTCAGGGGTGTCCTAACAGAGCACACAGTGTATAGGAAGGGATTGCTACCAATTACTCCAAAACACCACGTGGATTAAAATGTCAAAACCAAGAAACAGTCAAACATCGCCCAACACAGAAATACAAGCTAGGTCACACAACAGTCTACTCTAAAGACCAGAAAGACTCTGGAGGGGAAAAGCAGGCTTGCTCAGACCTGAGCTCTGCCCCTGCCTTTGCTTCTAACACTGCTGTTCTAAGAGACTGGAAGTCACAGAAAATGGACAGTGTTGTAGGACAAGCCAGGTTGTCCCTAGTCCCTGCCTTGACAATCAGGAACTGTCCTCAGTTCTGCTGACTTCCATGTTACCCTCGACCTCAGTGTCCCCAGTCTGTTCTGAGCTGGCTATATAACTGAAGATGACCTTGAACTCTGGCCTCCCAACTCCACCTCCCAAGAGCTTGGATCACAGATGTGTGTCACCGTGCTCTCCACAAGAGAACTACAATAGATTTCAGGAATAAAACACAGAAGATGTGAGTAGAAGATGCTCTGAGCGACATCTGGCCCTGTATAACCTTTTCTCTTTTAAGTGGGAAGAGAAGACCAGGGCCAAGGACCCTCCCAACCTGCCTCCCGGCCACAGAGCACAGGGTCCAACAGAGAGAAGGGCACAGTGTCTCCTGCCCAGGCACCATAAGGAAGAGCCTCAACTCCCCAAGGTGCTGGCATCCCCAGGAGAGGGGGGGGCCAGCAGCAGGGACCAAAGCTCCACACACAACACCAGCTTTGGAACCAGCAGGTTCCAAGATACCTTCCTTGTGGCTGCTATTTGCAAATGTTGGCATGGGCTTCACTGAGCTGAAAACCGGGCTCTGCTCTCAGCTCCACTGTTTTCTAGCATGTGTGGTTACTTCCCGTTAGGAATGTGGGTTCCTTCTGCATCCTGGGGTTACCATCACCCACTTCAAGTCTGTCCCTTTCACGAAACAGAGGCCCATGTGTACCATGTAGGTTCACACAGCCTAGCTCATATATGTTAAGACAGTACAGCACCACTTTGAAAGACGGTAGCTTTCAAAGCTTCAGCTTCAGCCCAAGTGGGTCAAGAGATCACTGCTAATCAAACATCCCTTCCCCCAACCAAGCACAGGCATCTTAGAAGTGCGTCCATGAGAACACGGTAAAGCCACTAAAATGGCCATTGACACCTGGGATTAGTGACCTCTCCTCCACGGGGTTCCTCAGAGCTAACTTCCCAAGCCAGGCCATGCTCAGTTCTGGGCCCCTCAGACAGGTCTGTGTGGGCACAGGCATGCATATAGTCACTCTGGATATGTTCACTGCGGAGGGAACTCTTTATTCCCTCTTAAAAAGTTATGTGCAGGTGTTTGCCTACATGTGCACCTGAGACCAAAAGCGGATGTCAAATCCCCTACAATTGGAATTTCAGGTGGCTGTGAGCTGCCATGTGGGTACGGGAATCCAACCCAAGTCCTGTGCCAGAGCGACAAGTGAAAAAGGAAAAGGGAGGAGGGTATGGTGGCACAAGCCTTTATCACAGCACTTGAGACACAGAAATGTGGATCTCTGTGAGACCCCCATCTCAAAAAAAAAAAAAAAAAAAAAAAAGAGCAGTAAGGGCCCTTAACCACTGAGCCATATTCCCAGCCCCAAGACCTTTACTTACTTACTTACTCTTTTTTCTTCTTTTTCTTTTTTTTTGGGGGGGGGGAGATAGAGGGTTTTACTATGTAACCTTGGCTGGTCTGGAACCATGTAGACCAGGCTGGCCTCCAACTCAGAAAAATAGGTCCACCTACCTCTGCCGGCTCAGTGCTGGGATTAGAGGTGCTCACCACCACACCCACTGGGGCCTTTACTCCAAGGCAGCACCCAACCTAGCTGTGGGAGCAACCCGAGATTGAGAATGCCCTCCCCAAAGCTGCAGGTTTCTAAGAAGAAAGCAAGAGTCCCACCATGCTGAGGACGCGGGAGGGAACTTGAAAAACATCAAGTGAAATATAACCAAAGGGAACCCTTGGTTTAGGAATGCCCGACTGCAGACACAATGAGAACCGGGACACCTCTCTGAGCTTCAATGAGGCAGAAGCAGGGAACAAGCATGGCTGTTGAAGGAAGGAAAGGATGGCGTCTTCACAGCTCCCCGCTGCTGTGCTGTTTTCGGAACTGTGACACAAGCCGCTGTGAGCACCGGGCACCTGTGCCCAAAAGCATACAGTTTATGGGTGAGCCGCAAGCAGTTAACACTTAGCTCATAAAGCGCAGACCCTGAGGTCTCAGTTATACCACACCCTGACCTCACAACTTCTGCAGCTCTAGCAAGGAGACGGTTTGAAAACAATTAGACCCAAAACTGGAGGGGTTGGCCTGTAGTAAGGGCCCCCTCTAGTGGTTATAGGGGAAGTTACAGGGATTTAGAGGGCTTCAGCACAAAGCTGTCTGAAAACTTGTACCAGCGCGTCTCTGCCTTAGCAGTGGCCCTGACCTCTGCATGAGACATCAACAGGCTCCATAACACTAGTCCCAAGTGATCTGGCTCGAAACCTAGGTCCTTCGGGCTGTGTTTCATAACAGTATGCTTCCTCCAGGTTTTGGGGCTGGGTCACCATCGTCTTAATATTTGGTATGTCCGTGTCCACGTGTCTGTATGTGCACCAGAAGGCGTCTGTGGAAGCCAGTTACAGCCAGTTACTTGTGAGCCACCTGCTGTGGACTCTGGGAACCCAACAGCAAGCGCTCTTAACAGCTGAGCCATCATTTTAACGGCTGAACGATCTGTGATCTCAGGCGGAGGTCTCGGTGCCACTGCTGAGATGTGCTTGATAATCAGCGCACACACTCAATTACACAGAGCCCACCAAAGACAATGTTCAAATGTTAATGTCTCTGCAAAGACTCAACCCGTGTGCCACCTGACCGAGTAAACATATCCACATTCTCCCTGCAAACCTAATCTCCATGCTGCCTCATACTGTGTAGTTACTGGCTGCCACAAGGCCTCTTACACCCAGGAGACACTCTGTCTCTAGGAAGGGAGACGGACGGCCACATGGTGGCAGATTTATGGAGAACCCTGGCACCTTCTTTGCAGAAGCCTGGAGCTGGGAGTAACCCAGTCCCCCTGAGACATGGGGAAAAGTGACCTGAGTGTACCTAAATTGGTGAGCTCTTAAAAAAAAGGGGGGGGGGGCACAGGGAAGACAAACTGAAGGTGGCTATGGTCTATGCCCTATCCCGTCTGTGTAACATGCAGGGCCTCGTGCAGTGTCAATGAACGCCATACAAATACGGCGAGCGTCTTAGACTCTCAGTTCATGCCAGAGAAGGGAACCCACAGCTTGGGTCCAGTTATCTCTGGTTCTAAGTAGGCTAATAGATTCATTCAGGTCACTTACCTGACCTGGGCTTCAAATTCTTTCACCTGTAAAACTGAAAGTACTAAACTAAGACAAAATGAACTCTGACTGAATGCATTCTAACTCCAAGGCCACAGCCCATTCCTGAGCACGGCTACTAAAGCCGACTTTGCCGGTGTCACCTTTTCCAGGTGACAGTAAAGGCACACAGGAAAGTGCAGTGCTACCCACTGCACAGCATTTAAAGAGAGATGGAAACCCTCAAACAGGCAGTGACATCTCTTCCTGATCGCCAACCAGCGGGCTCCTGTGAGCTGAATGGAGAGAATTAGTTCTTTCTAGAGTTAGGAGAAAAACCCCTAATGTAACAACCAAGTAAACCTTAAATATCAAAGAAGTGTTAAAAACACACCTTTACTGATGCTTAATTTAAAGAGATCATTTGAAAATCAGCTTTTGCCTTTTCCCATTTCTAAATTTTTACCTTTTGTTTTTTCAAGACAGGGTTTCTCTGTATTGTTTTGAAGGCTGTCCTGGAACTCACTCTGTAGACCAGGCTGGCCTTGAACTCAGAGATCCGCCTGCCTCTGCCTCCTGAGTGCTGGGATTAAAGGCGTGCACCACCAACACCTGGCTAAATTTTTACTTTTCACTAACCCATCTAACCTCACAGCAGAAGAAGAGCTGCTGTGTCACAGGTTGCATGACTACACTTATGGTCTGAGTTACTGTGAAGGTCAAGGCAGAGGGGCACTTGAGCAAGAATTTGAGATTAGCTTTTGCACTATAGCTAAATTCCAACTCAAATAAATAAAAAAATTAGATTTAGACTTATTGATCCATAACTGAGGGGGGAGATTGCGAGTTAGGGATACATAGCTCACTGGTGGGACACGTGCACAAAATCCAGGCTTAGTCCCTGGTACCAAATGCATCCCAAACCCCAAATTTCTTGGGCATCTTTACGTGGCTCACAAAGCACTCAGTTTCAGACTTTGGGGCTGGCAAGATGCTCAGCAAGATAAAGGAGCTCACACACACACACACACACAATACACAGATGGGTGCATGCACACTCAGTGATATAGGTACTTATGATCCCACTTAAAGGTGTTAGGAGAAGAACACACTCCACCAACATGTCTGACCTCTCCTGTGCATGTAGGTACACATACACAGACACACAGACACACACCTATGATTTTAATATTTAAAGATATGTGGACTGGGGGCATTTAACCTATAACAAACTGTTATTACAAAGCATTT